CGACAGATACAGCCCACTCAAAAATATATTGTTTTATATAAAATTCATTAAGATATATATATATATATATATACTTTACCATTCAATCTCGTCCAACTGATCTTGCAGCTGTCACTCCTCGGCTCTTGGTAGTTCAGGCATTTATCAAACCTGGCAACTCCGGGCTTCCTGGCAGCTGTCAATCAAAGTCCAGTGGCTCTGCCCCAAAGTGCCAGAAACTTTTCACGCGCGTAGACTCCACGAGCAAGTGAGGCTGTCTCTCTCGCGAGCGAGCGCATAGCCGCTCGCAGGGGTTTAATCTGCGCGTGAGGGTCATTTAATGCGCGTGTAAAAGCACATTTTCCGCTCGTGAGTAGCTTGTTTTACGCGCTAGAATATTGACCCAAATCTGACTCCATATTTGGGTATTGCAATTTCACACGTGCACAAAAGTAGCTTAATAAGTGCTATGTGAATAAATGCAAGTGATGTGATGCAAGTAGCTCTTGGCCACTTTCATTTTTTCAAAGTAGCTCTCAGATGAAGAAAGGTTGGAGACCCCTGCTCTGAAGTGAGGCTCCACTACACTAAAAAAGACAAGGCACAGTGTAATGCCTGTTAATAGCTTGCCACAGGCATAGCTCAGTTAAAATAAAGCACAGCTATTGTGCAATACATTTGTATTGCATGTATATTTTTTATTTGTAAAAATGTCAGTTAAAGCTTAAAAGAATAAAAATATTTTAAAACGTTTGACCTCTTTCTTTTACAATTTTGGAATCGAAATGGGGAATCGATAAGAACCGGAATCGATAAGCAGAATCGGAATTGATACATTTCAAACGATACCCATCCCTACTCATAATACCCTTATTACTTATCGTAGCTGCACGTCCAACCCATCGATCTGATCGTAAGATGACACCGAATCGATAGGTACATACATCATCACTCCATGATAAGAACTCGCAAAGCTATTAACAAGAACAGACATCAAAACATGTGGCGCTAGGTAGCTAAAACCGGCAACATGGCTCACCTTGGTCGTTGTCTGGTCAAAAGCGGTCTTCAATGGCATTCAAATGATAAAAACGCTGTTGAAGTTAATCCAATGTGTCTGTCACTTTGAATGATTTCTGATAATCCATGAGCAATAAACCTGCTTTTCGGTTTTCAGAAGTCATAGCTAGAGACAGCTTCACTCTGGTGCAAACCTGCATGCGCAAAGCCCCCACCTTTTTGTTTTACCATGTGTGTGAGTGGGGAGATTCCCCTTCGATTCTATTGGCTCTAACGGTCAGAAAGAGATGTCAATCACCAAAATCGACCAATGGGTTCCAGAGAAACGGTAAAACCCCCATTCCCACCCAAATCACCTCAGAGGTGGAGTTTTTTTTTGCTAAATCCGTCTAAAAAGGTCAAATATCACTTGTTTTGCATCAATCTTGATACAGGGTACTTATTATATGTTGTACTTTGGATTCCTAAAGCTTTTAGTCTACCATCCCAGCATCCAAGGTTAGTTTTCACTAAAAATCCAAAATAATATTTGGACGGACACTATAATTTAGAGTTTTTTACTATGTTCAATCTGAATTTTCTTTAAAAGAAAAAACATCTATATTGATTATTTTCTACATCCAACTCACAGGTGTATCATTACTTTGAGAAAAAAGATTATTAATTTAACCCTTTTAGAAGGGAAGATATGGTCATTTGTTCTGGGAATGTCATTTTCGAGCCTGAGACCTGAAAAACAGGCTCGGGGCTTAACAGGTTAAAAGAGATGACAAATCGAGAGCAGGCAAATAACATGGGCCCTAGTGAGTACCGCAGAAACATTTGAAGAGAGACATTCTTAGCAGTTTGTTTATATATGTATTTGTGTATAGAACATGTTGCAACTATACAGAGCTTTAGCAATACTATAAGTAACTATGGTCGGTGGAGAAGTGATAAAATGTGAAGAGGGACAAAGTAATGACAGGAGAGTAGTTTGCATTAAACATGCTCAAGAACAAATATAGAGAAGACATTCAAGGAGAGAGAGACAAAACACAGATTCAACGGTAAACATGATGTATCTTTCTATTTATTTAGCTAACCACTATTTCGACTGTGTTTTTGATTGACTTCATTAAATGGATTTACTACATCAGGGGTGCCCAACCAGTCGATGGAGATTCCCAGTTGATCGCGAGATGTGTCTAAAAATAGAACAACAATATTCTATTATCGTTAATCTCCTATAACATAATCTTCCTGTGCCAGAATAATGTACTTGAACGCATTAAAGCTTTGTGATTGGCGTGACCCCATGTGTCGGGGCGTGGCTGGTGGGCAGTGGGCAGTTAGCTGACGTTGTCCGTGTCAACAGGAGTGACAGTCCGCACACACACAAGACCGGCATTTCAAAACGGTGCACAAACGCTACGAGACGGAATCCCCTCCTAATGCTGCCCTACGCTCTTCTGTTCGTTGCGTGCATATGTAACAGAGTTAAACATGTGAATACATAATTATAAGTTTGTGAATGTTTAATTCATAATAAGTTGTGAATTTTAAGAAATGAGATTGTTTCATTTAATATTTTAAGTTTTGTTTCCCGTGGGAACACCGTCCCGTTGCACGTCTTTGTTTACTTCCGGTATGTATTGTCCACCCTCCGGACTGGCCATCTGGAGAATCACAGAACGACGGTCGTCAAGGGCCGGCTCGATTCGCTGACGGCCGTCACCGCCCTTAATTTTTTATGTTTTTAAAAGGCATCATTGAAGTTGCACCGACAGAGGTCCGCCGTTTCACAGTTGACAGTTCGCTAGCACCCCAAATGTTTTCATTGTCTGTTTATGTGAAATATGTAGAAGCCATCATTCAATTGTAGACCAATGCATGATTAAATACACAAAACAGCTTATATTATACCTTCATAATTGTGTATTATTTCTATCTTTATAGAGAACATTATACATTTAGAATCAGATTTTGAGACAGTGAGCGGCTGGAAAGTCACACCGCCATGGGGCACAAACAGTTGCTGACGTGATGTTTTCTTCATTCTCAGGCATTCCATAAGGAGGGTCAGGAACTCACGCTTGGGACCACCAGTGTCCACTCCATCCTCAGTGTGTCCCTCATCCTCAGTGAACTTAACTGACGTCTCATGAGAGGGGTCGAATGAGGCACCTTTGAAGCCGCGGATTGCTCCATCCCACACATTGGCTCTATTCATATTGAACCTGCTGCAAGATGTATTTGTTCTTTTTGCAGAGAGTTCTGCAACAATGTCCTCCGCAGTCAGGTATTCTGTGCTGGGAAAGACAAAGTGATGTATTGTAATATTAAATGATGAAGATTGATGAATAAGATTTACAGTATAGAATAGAACAATTAAGTGGTAATAGTAACAATTAATACCGTTGCTCCATTTTGTCTTCTGGCTCAGACTGGCTATCAATAATGATAGGTCCATACACATGTGTGTAGTTGCTGCAGTGAGAAGACAGTTGAATAATTATTTTCTAATACATGCATGACAGTCATATTTACAAAAGGATGTCGATCCTCTTCCTGTTTTCAATACATTGGGTTCTAAACTGACAACAGCACTTTGTCATACTCCTGCACAATCCTTGTAAACATTTTAAATGGATGCAACAAACAATATCTGACCTTTGAAAAATATTTGTGGGTGTTTTTTGTATCGTCTTCACTAAGATGTTGGATGTTGTGGGTGTCATTTGGAAATGTATGAAAGTATAATTGTTCTGCTTCCTGGCAATGTTACCCACTGTGATTGGAGGCTATACAAACAAACAAATGTAAAATAAAGATACACACCAAACCACTGTGTCACGATGCAACTGTCAACCTCATTTACCTATAGAAGTGGTTCTGACCCGGGGCAGACTGGACCTCTTCCTGGAATGGGGTTGGTGCTCCATCCTATTTTTACCCAGGAAATAAGTGCACACAAAGGTATTTATTGATTTCATGTTCACAAATTCAAACCTACATGGTATAATTACATTTGTAATTAGTCTTACCCGATCAGACGCTGGTTGTGGGTGCCTGAGAGGTCTGATAAAGGTAAACAACAAATATTCAAACTACTGTACTGTTAAAACATTCTGCTTCTTGTGGCACAAAATAATATGTTGAAAATGTTTTATTTTACCCAGGTAAACTGTTGTCAGTTGAGTGCTCACTTTTGGAACATTTGGAATGTCCCACACCTGCATACACACAAATGACTGACTGAAATAAGATAAAATCACTTTAATTAAGAATAAATCCAAACTGACCAAGGTACATTATATTGTTGAGCGTCCTTTGACTCTCACATTAGGATTTACATTGGGGCACAATAAACCAACTCCTCTCTGCACCTATAATATATCTATATGATGTCAAGAGTTACATTTAGGTGCACAGTGCTGTCTCTTGACTTGCAAACTCTTTTACAAAACAAGCTAACGCTAGCTGGGTAAATATGAAGCTCTTTGTATCAAAACAAAACAAAACGTACCTTCTTATATATCGACTTTTTCCACATCAATCAACTTTGTTTCCTCCGGCTTCAATTTCCATCACTCTCGTTCGTTCTCTCTATGTCTGGTCAGACATCAATATGTTCCACGGAACGCGCCCCCTAGAGGCCTGGAGCATTGTGTGTTTTTGACTTTGCATATCGTTTTTGTATTTGCAGCGTTTTTCTGTTGTTTTCGGGGTTTGTGTGTTGTATTTTTAGTTTGCATCATTTCTGTAAATGCAGCATTTTTTTTGTTTTATTTATTTTCAGGGTTTGTTTGTTTTTCATTTCATTATTTGCAGCTGTTTCCTGCTTATGTATGCGTTTTTGGCCGTTGTTCCGCGTTTTCACCTGCCGGCCACCGTAGAATATACTGTTTGCTGTGAATACATCATCAGTGTGTACATGTTTGCAAACTTGGTAATTGTTGCAACATTTGTAAAGTTCTGACTAAAATAATAAAAATATATCCTCTTGAATTTTTTCTCAGCTAACACACACACACACACACACACACTGATACACACTTTAGATGATGGTGGACTCCACGTTTGCTCTGGTGGGGAAGAACCTTAGTGAAGCCATGAGGATCCTCGGGGACGGCCAGAGGTAAGATGAGACAATTTACAACTAGCAAAACATATAAACCCCTTTATGTCTGTCTTGTGTTGAGTTTCTAACCAATAAACACATCTCTGTGTCTGTGCTCTGCTTCTGTTCAGAGAGACGGAGGCAGGACCAGAGAGGTGGCGCTTCAGAGCCTGCATCCCTGGACCCCTGCAGGGAGAGTAAGACACACACACACACACACACACACACACACACACACACACACACACACACACACACACACACACACACAGAGCCAGGGACCAAGCAGTTTGGCAACAGGACACAGGAGTGGTTTAAATGAACTGGGTTTTTTTATTTACCCAAAAGTCCACCGAAAATATCATCCATCAATAATTTCTAATAACTAGGCCTATAAATATGAAGGTAGACATGGTGCAAAATGCGAGAGCTTGTAAAACCTGATGTGAGCACTTGCAGAAAAAAAATCTGAGCTTGTGTGCATACATTTACACTTGTATAAAATATCCACGTATCTGTGAACTAAATTTAAAGTCACATTAGAAAAAAAAAAAGTGTTGTAGCTTGTAGAAAAAAATGAACTTTGTGATGAAATGTTCACTTGCAGAAAAATATATCTTTTTAAAATATATTTTCCATTACAACTGCAACTTGGTTATTACAACCTCTCAAATCAGTCATTACAACTTGACGAATCTGCTCTGTGGCAGTATAAATCGACGAATCTGCGGCCTTGACTTTTGCTACACTTCTTGCGATAAATGTGTCGCAAAAATAATTTTCACCTGTAGATGTGGGGGAGGGAGGGGGGTTGGACGACGAGGCGCAAGCTCGGTCAGTCCAAGCTGCTAACTCTGGGGAGCCGGGCCGCCAATAAGGAAGGAAGTGCCCCAAACTGTAGTTCATCTATTGGCCGATAGGCGATGACTGCAGAAAGGAGGAATTTCCATAGACCCCCATGTTAAAATGCCCAACTTTACAGCAGAAAAAAACATGTTTCTACATCTGGATGCAATACAATTATTCAGGATATAGTTAGATTCCACCTTCATGATTAGGAATTGTTGAGTGAATTATTTTCTAACACGACCCTTTTATTTATATTAGGTCTTAAAGTTTTTGCATAAATTAGGGCGTGGTCACATTGAGTCTCTGTCAAGTGACTGCTGCTGCTAGCTTCTGGTCTCTCTGCTAGCTGCTCCGTGAAGCTAGCTACAGGGACTCTGTCTGGTCAGTTCATCCAGGGAACACAACTTGACCCCGGCCGTGTTTATTTGTTCTTCATGCTTATATATCGGACTATTGTGACTCGCTCTGCGGTTGAAACAGACGGTGCATGAATGCGTTTTTTGCGGTAAGTGAAATTCGAGTACTTTATTTATGTGTTAATGATTTTAATCAGCTACGTAATGAATGTTAAGGCTTGGGTTAGCGTGTAGCGAGTGGTAGCTACATCGATGCTAACGATGCTAATCGTAGCCTCCAAGTTAAAACCATAGACTGTATATATAAAGGTTAAAACGAAATAGACAAGTGTTAAGCATTAAGTGGGATAATACTGTAGAACAAACGGCTTCTGTTTGAGGTTGATAAAATAAGGTCATCCTTGTAACTTAGAGAGACATTTTATTATGTAGCTAGGAACTGTATGCATCGCTAACGTTAATTTAAATGGGCTATGCTCAAGTATGTAGACAAGCTAATGTCGAAATAGTGTATGTGAAATCAACCTCACAATAAGATGTGTGTATATTACAATTATTAATGTCATATTTCAAGATGATTACTTAGATATTACAATATGGTTGGTTGAGCTGGAGTTCATTATTGAGCTTACACGTTAACGTCACAGTCATCTGAAGAACGAATCCAAACCTTGTTGTTTTTATTAATTGCATTACCAAATGGGTATCAAATAAACAGTAAGCATTGGTAACACAACTTCCAAAGTTACAGTAAAATAAAAAGGACCCTGACTCGGACAATACACAATCCAACATGTTCAACAGAAGAGAATCAGTTATATTGTTTGTACACATGGTACTTTACATATATATCTGTTTGTTTAAGGTGTCCAGGTGATGCAGACAGGCTGGACCAGAGAGTGAGAGACAGAACTGGACTCCTCACAGCAGTGAACTTCAGCACAGGTATAAAAACTATTTTCTTACTGTACAAAGAATCAAGAAATATATTGGTTTAAATAAATGATATACTGATATACACAGGGCTGCACATAACTGGTGCGCATGCGCACCTCCGCCAAAAAAAGAGCACCGTGTCATTTGAAAAAAGGCGCATTTGCGTACCAACATTGAGAGAGAGAGGGAGAGACAGAAGGGAGAGAAGAGAAAAGAGAGAAGAGAGAAATATATTTGCGAGTTGCATATGAACCTATGATACATATGAGCTCAGAGCCGGCCCGTAGCATTGGCGTAATAGATGTTCGCCTAGGGCGCCAGATCTGTGGAGGCGCTGCGCTGGCAGTTCTGGGAGGGAAAAAAACATTTTGACCGTTGGTGCTCATCCTACTTGTCGGCCTTGATGTAACAATATTCACAATTAAGTAAATGTAACACCCTTTTCACCCCGGTTACACGTTTCATTTGCCCTGTACGATGGGCGCTGTAAGTGATGAAAGTGGGGGATGTTGGCTTATCTGGCGCCCGCAGCTCACAGCCAAAGTGCGAGTGAGCGAGGGAGGGAGGGTGCACCGGTACCGGTGCTGTTGTTATTAGAATCTGGTGCTAGCTGCTCTAACGGATATAAGAAGAAGATGTTTCTACAATGATGTGGAGGGAGAGTCCTCTCCAGTCAGACTGAGAGACTGATAACTACAGCTCAGTGAGGTAAAGGACTCTGAGTGTTTAGATAGTTCACTTTAATCTAAGTTCAAACAGTTTGGTCACAATTTATGTAAACACATATTTCCAAGGCACTCCTTTATAATTATTGGGATAAACAGGTTTGAAATCATTCCAATGTATACTATAGGACAGTAACCAAAAATATCCTTTAAAACTGGAGATAAAAAAAAATGCATAAATAAATAAATGTTAAGGTAAAATAAGATGTGAATGAACATCAAAAATAAAATAAGTTACATTAATTTGTTATTGGCTATGGTAGGTTATTGGTTATGTTCACATACTTATTTGATTACATCCACTTGTCTAAGATGACAACAGAGACTTTCGACCCAAACCAGCTGTTGACTTGTGGATGCAAGCAGCTAATCGCAGACTCAACCAGAGAGAAAGAAGTAGGCCTACATCATCAGCTACCATGTCTGACAGAGAGGAAGACAGTGAGGAGAACAGTCAGGAGGGTAGTGATGACAGCTTGTAGGATTACTGGTCGTGCTAATGTTGTCTTGTGTTCACCTCTGCATGTGTGTTCTGTGTTCACCTCTGTGTGTGTGTTCTGTGTTCACCTCTGTGTGTGTGTTCTGTGTTCACCTCTGTGTGTGTGTTATGTGTTCACCTCTGTGTGTGTGTTCAGTGCTGTGTGTCTGGCAAATAAAGACTCCCTCAAAAGTTACGGTTTATTTCATTTTAAGGATGAGCACCAAGCAACATCTCCAGGTGCTCCTTTGAGAACCAGGGCAAAAAAGTTATGTGTACCCCTGGATTAACATTCCATTAAACAATACTAAATACTAGATCACCTACACATCAGTTAAGTTGAGGGTTTTTTCCATGCCAAAAGTTACATTTAGATGTTAACAAGCAATATGATTTTGTCAGCTTTCTAATTTAATGTATTGAAGGCAAAGATATTTAACACATAGTGAGAACTGCTACTATTTATCTCTCAATATTGTCTGTCAAAAACGTGGTAAAAGTGATTATTTCAGTGAGACAACAGAGCAAGCTTCTACAGTTGCACTACGTTTTGATAACAGTTAAATATTATTTTGATAATAACATATATTTCAATGTTGATGAACTTCATACTGTTCATTCATAATCTGATTGTCTTTGTAGCTCACTGTTGAAATAAAAAAAAACATTACAATTACAAAATAATTATATCTACAGCCCCTAAACACACAAACACACCGCTTTCATAAATAACACACTTGTTCTTGTTTATGTTTTATGTTTCCTGTCATTTTTGTTAGGAAAGGAGATGCCTGAAAGACAGGACATTTTCTCCTTCTCTGAGGGTCAAGAAGAACATCCAAGAGGAACATTAAAAGCTGATGTTATGAAATTTTAAGACCAGTACAGGACATTCACTAAGAAACTACTTTTTATTGTGAAAACACAGTCAGCTGATCAAATGCAGCTATTTCCACATCTACACTCCATCAGCTGATTATTTCTATTTGCCTCACTTTATGAGCTTCACATCACTTGTGCCTTGTACCGCAGAGTTTGCAATGTCACAAATAAATGGGGCCAATCTTCAGTCAGATGTGAATGTGTAATCTAACATTTTCAGTAAGAATAATGGACAAAAGGAGTGCAAATACAAATACAATGTATTGAAATGTGAACCAAAAGTTAATCAAACATGTTTTAAATAAAAAGCACATATGGACAGAAGGTGTAAACCTATTAAATGTATAAGTAAACACATTTAGTCAAATAAAGTGACAGACTAGGCCTGTGCAGTTGGTATCAGCTTTGCCCAGCATGGGCTCCTCCATCAGGCCTGGTCCTCCTCGCTGAGGAAAGACCCTCAGTCCTCTCCAAACCAACAGACAGGACGTCCATCACACGGAGGTTTCTCCCTGAAGTCTCTGCAGCTATCTGGACACCACGCTGTCTCAATCCGTCCATCACACGGAGGTTTCTCCCTGAAGTCTCTGCAGCTCTCTGGACACCACGCTATCTCAATCCGTCCATCACACGGAGGTTTCTCCCTGAAGTCTCTGCAGCTCTCTGGACACCACGCTGTCTCAATCCATCCATCACACGGAGGTTTCTCCCTGAAGTCTCTGCAGCTCTCTGGACACCACGCTGTCTCAATCTGTCCACACTGAACATGAGAGGGGGAAAATGAAAATAACAAATGCTTTAGACCAGGGATCACCAACTACATTTGTCCAAGGGCCAAAATAAAAAAATAAAATATGAATTATCATTATTATTTATTATCTGAAATGATGTAATAACTTTTAAAACTGTTTCCAGTCGCTTGCCCCATGCATTCAGCAGCAGCAGGCCATTCACTTTGATTTTATCCCGTT